TTCAAATATTTTCCAGAACATACTTTGCTTAGCTTATGAGATTTAAGAAAGTTACCACCCCAGATAACAGAAATCTGTATAAAAGGTGTATATATTAAGGATGAGGTGAGGAGCTAAGTATTTCCATGAAACTCAAAATGAAGGGACCAGTTATGTATCAAAAAAAGGTATCGAATCAGGTGTCCCATTAAGTGAAGTCATATTACTTGTACTACAGTAAAAAAATATGCTGAAGAGATGTCACAAACAGAGTTTATTACTGATATGTGCTATGCTACACACAATATGTAGTCATGGGGACAAATGGAGTTACTCCAGATTTACACAGCTGTATTAGAGACAAAATCTAGATCTCAGGATGAAGTTTTAAATCATCACATTTTCCTTTTATTTCTAAACTTCTCTGATTTCTCTCTTGTGATCTAGACTGACTTATAGAATCAAAATCTGTATTTTAATGACATTCAGAAACTGTCTGATAGCTCTCCAGCTTCTTTGCTTTTTAAAACATGGAGCATGCTTGCTGAAGAAATAGAAAGAAATATATTCTTAATGTTTTTTCTGTTTGCTAAATGGAGTTGTGGGAAATGATATCCTTGTAATTATGGCTTTGTTCAGACTTGTTGTCCACTCCCATTCCCCTTGGAATTAGCTACAGGCTGGCAAACTGCAGTAGCATTTATTTTATTCTTCTTCTTTCATATGGCTTTAGGAGCGAGAGCTATCATCACTGTTCTAATTCCAAATTCCCCAACTAGACCATTTTTTTAAATACACACAAAGTATGATCACAATGTTACTCCAAAATGGCAATGTTGCTAAAATACAAGGGTGAAACTTTAGTTTTCAGTTTAATTGGTTGGTTTTTTCCTGATTTTGTCATTACTGAATGGACAAAAGCCTTACGTTCAATTAATTTGTGTAAGTTTGTAACAATGTGCAAACTTACTCGTCTCTAATAAATTTCTTTATTTCTCCACTAAACAGAGCAATTTTTAATGGAAGACCTCTAAAAGTACATATTTATCTCTTTTGCTGTAGTGTTTTTTTTCAAATGGAAATATGTCTGGATAATATTTGGAAACTTTTATTTATATAGGATGAATAAAATCTTTAGATAAAACCAAAAAATGCATCACCTTGACTACTGACTTAATAACAAGTGTTAATTTCAGATAAGAAGCCCTGTTTATTTCAGTCATGTTTCAGCACCTCCTTGCTTTTTGCAGTGAGTAGGGTTGTTGGGTGGGGGGGAGGGGGTTAAGATAATATGAGGGAAATGTAGGAGAAGAGAGAGACAATACCTTACAAATGATAGGCCAAGTTCTGATCTTTCTGAATGGACAAAGAGTTTAACACAGCCCTGCTACCCATCTGAATTGTATACTTTTAAACCAACAGTGGAGCTTTTCTTAGTTTCTTACATGATGGATGCACTGTGGCAACCTTGATCAAAGTATGGACCACATAATAATGCTGTCCTCTCTACAGATTTGATGGTGACATTGCAAAGATACATTCTCTTTCCTCAAGAGCATTAGATTGGTTACCTAACCATAAACTGGATTTATAATTGTTGCTCCAAGGCAGCCATACAAAATAAGACTGCCTGATGGTCCAACACAATCTCCTGAAAAGCAGAGATTCTTTTTCTTCCCTTATACCACCACCATTGAGGGTGATGTTAAAAATGCTTCCTCAGGAACCTTTGTGGTTGAACATCACCACCCTGTATCCAGGAGTAAAACTAGAATTGGCATCTAAAAATACCTGTTCCCCACTTCCTTTTACCTTTTAGCCACTATAGGATCCTAAGTTTTATTGGGCTCCTGGTAGGACTCATTTTTTAAAATGGGTGTTTGTATACTGGAAACACTAACAAACATTCCAAAATAAAATACCAAATTTCGAATTTGTTTTTCCTATTTACCTACCAGGTCCTTTAAATCCCTTTAGCTAGTGTTAAACATTGAATGCAGGATTTTTTTTAAACACTTGTTCTGCTGGCAGCCACGTACTTTTGTGAGTTTAGTTTGAAATGCCTCTGAAGGGACTGTCAGAAGGTGGGATTAAAAGAAGGTCTTTCGAAGTGGGCAAAGTCTAGAAATTGGGGTACCCCAAGTCATGAGATGCATAGAAATATCTGGATCATAGCATTTTATCTAGTAATCATAATATCCCCCTGTATTTGCTGCTGTTTCTATATGGTTACTGTGCAGTCATATGCAGAGGGAGAAAAAAACATTTGGGGGTGCTGAGTGCATGCTCAGCCTCACCTCCCCCCCCGGGGTGCAGGGTGGGAGGGGTGGCTCCTGCCACTGTGCACACACTGGGAGGCATGGGGGGCATGTGCCCCCGGATCTGCGTGGGGCAAGGTAAGCTGCCACTGCAGGCTGGGGCCAGGGTTGCACCAGGCCCTTCCCAGCAGGGTGGGGTTAGGCTGCACTGAGCTTGGGGTGCTGTAAGAGCAGGTCGGGGGGGGCTATGGCAAATTTTGGAGTGGCTGCAGCCCCCCAACCATAGCCCCCTTCCCAGTGCCACTGCTGTCTACCCCAAGTGCAGCCTGGCCCTAGCCCACAGCAGCAGCCTGCCCTGCCTTGCACAGATCTGGGGGTGCATGACCCCCATGCATCTTGGGGTGCACATAGCAGCAGGAGCTGTGCCCCGCAGACAAGCTGCTTGCGGCTCGGTCCCCTGCCCTGCCCTGGCTGTGCAGCGCCTGCCCCAGCCCCACTCCCACTCCCTCCTCACCCTTGCTGCAGCTGCTGGAAGCCCACAGCTGGGCTGCCTTGTGGTCCAGCCGCTACCCTGCGTTTGTGGGGCTAAGCCCTGTTAGCCCCCACTTTCTGCCACCTATGTGTGCAGTGTGGCTTGTCTAAGGTTTTTACAGGAATCAGGGCTGAAGTCCCAGTTCCAAAACTAGCAGGAAACTTGATTGTTGTAGAGCCAGAATTCCACTGTTAATTTTACATTTCTGGGCAGTCTCTTAACATCATGTTTACTTTGTAGTCATGTTTCAGCACCTCTTTGCTTTTTGCAGTGAATAGGACTGTTGTGGTGGCGGGGGGTGGTTTTTAAATAATACGAAGGAAATACAGGAGAAGAGAAATGCAGCGCATTTACTTACTATTTAATCACATTGTGGTTTGTGCACTTGTAGAACCTGGCTCAGTCAATACATCCACAGGGGACTAATCTACAAACATGCTTTCATAAGTAAAGTTTCATGTACCTGCATAAGGGCTGTCAGATTTATACACATTGTACAGAATTTAAAATTACAAGTATAATTAGTGCCCCTTCTACTTCCACATGGCAGCTGCAGGCAGGTCTTCAAATGTGGCAGTCTTTCGATTTGATTCCGGTACTTTTGTTTTTCAACCTCATGTTTTCTGTGTTGCACAGTGCACTGAATTCTGAACCAAGCAGTCCAAAAAATTGTGAAATTCACATTGAGAACCCAATAAGCCAAGAGGCAGTGTGCTGCTGTTACTGGCGAATGACTTCCTTTCTGTGTCAAATTTGTTCAAAGCCTATTGAAGCTAATGGGAATCTTCCATTTTTTCCAGTCTGTATGATCATATCAAGTCTAAGCTTGTGAAACAACTTTGTTTTTATGTTATTTGAGCAGAAAATACATGAATTTCTTAGCTGGTGTTAAAAATGTAAATACTTTTGGCCTACTAGACTGTTTTTATTTATTTATAAAGATTTTCTTTCCTACCAAAATTCAACCTTTTTGAGCTCATGAAGAAAACTGGTTTGGAGAGGAACTCTTCAAATGCTAAAAAATAAAAACAAGCCTTATACCTTAATGCTTTCTCAATGCCAGCTATAGTTGTTACCATGCTGTATTCCTAAGCATGCAGGCCTGGTCAGAACTTTGGTGCTGTCTAGTGGCAAGTTACTGCATCTCACTTGTGCTGGCATAAGAATTGTCTGTGGAGGATTGTGAAAGATGGTATTAGATTACTATACAGAAATGTAGGATGGAGTTTGGAATGACTTATTCTTGCTGTTTCAAGTGCATGGATATTTTCTTACATTATATTATATAATAGCTTCATCTATCGACTTTGATTCTGTACATAAAAAGATATACTAACAGAATTGCATCATTGCTAGAAGAATTGTATGTACAGAAAATAAGCTTTAGTGGTCTGTATAAGGCACTTATATGCTGGTATAATGATTTCAGGAGACATCTATAAGTTATTAACTATTTTGGTTAAAATAAAAAATTGCACCTGAATAGTTAAAAACCTAATGCCAATCCTGAGGCTCTGAGAAGCCCTGTTCCTTTGTAGTTCTTTAGATATGGTACCTACTATTAGTAAGTCTGAGGAGTTTGGAGGTGTAAGACTGTCTGCATACATAAGTTGTACCTTTTAAGTAAATATATTAAATCAGAAAAATCTCTTTAATGTGAACACAGGAACTGCAGTATGAAGTTGCCTTTTTTTCTTTACAAGAAGGTTGGTGTAAGTCAGATGCAGCTGTGTCCTAATTATGAGCTTTTACCAGTTTAACTTTTGAACAGTTTAAATGTGATAAAATATCACATGCCTAATTTATAATAGTACAAAACCCATGTAAAAGGAGTTAAAATAGTTTCATTCTGTCCCATACTTGTTTGTGATTTGGGAATGCATTTTCCTTGGTTATGCCAACAGTATTGATCGGAGGGATGTAATTCCAACAGATGTCATTCTTGGGGTGTGGTCCAATAAATGCAAAAAATGTTTGATTTACTTTTTCATGCATTTGGAACACTGGCCCTTATGGGCAGCACACTGACTAATCTACCCTACGTGTTTCAAGTGCTATAATTTTTGGTTATACGTGTGGAGTCTGTAACATCAGACACACAAAAATCTATTTATATATGCAACCTGTTTATATTTAAAAAAATCAAACAAAAACCCTTTTATCTTCAGTAATCTCTTTGTTCTGTAGAAATTATTATAGCCTCTGGGTCTCAGTGTTTCTCTTCTTTACAGATATCAGTATTACCTGCAAGTGAAAAAGGATGTTCTTGATGGTCGATTACGTTCATCATTAGATCAAGGAATCCGGCTAGCTGGCTTAGCTGTGCAAGGTGAGTTAGCTGTTAAGCGAGGCTAACAAAGTTGCCTTTTTAATTTCAAGTATCTGTTTGCCAGAAGTCAGGTCACATCCAACTCACGTT